CAAGTTGAAGACTCGTAGAAGACTGTCCGTTCTTGTTTTTCTCTCAGGTAGTTAACTTTCCCCTACTCATTCCTTCTTTTTATGAATCGACCATGCAGATTATTTATTACTCTCATTGTATGTCCAGTGACGAGGTTTCCAATAATTTGACATTGTTTAATCTGAAAATAAACAAAGATACCTCTTTTTGTCTTTAAATACAAACAAGGTGTTCGTATTCCAATGTATTAACCATAAGGAAGATGGCAATATTTTTCATAGAAAATTTCTTTACTTAAAATTGTTAATCAATTTCGACTAAAATTGACATTTAAGGCAAGGGCCTTTGGTTTTTACCCTTCAAGGTAAAGTAAGGACATAACGTCCTTAAACAAATACATAGACATGGCGTCTCTCACAACACGAATAAAGATAAGGAATTATTTTATTTTTTTTTTAACATAATATAACATCTAAGTATTCCACCACCAAATGAATTACTTTTTAACTAGGAAATCTAAACAAATGCGGTAGCCAGAATCGAACTCAACTTTAAACTCAACTCTCCCATGTGCAAAAATAGCAGCTCATCCCATGCATGATTTTAGCCCATGGGAGAAAATAGCCGCCATTTTTATACAAGTCGAACAAGTGAATTTAAAGGTCGTATGAAATTTCCCAAAATTCTAAGCGATTGAATAACGATTAGAATGATCATTTTAATAGAATTTCAAAACATTGAATATCAATTTGATGGAAAATATTGCAATTGTTTTATATTTTTAAAAAGTGTCCTTTTTTAAATAATAAAAAATACAGCTAATTTCAGGCTTAGTAATAATGTTAAATATATTTTAAATTTTAATTTATTCCTATTTATCAAAATTTTATATATTTTGCTATTATTTTTCTTCTTTTATTTGAATTATGCCAAAACATGAGAAAATAATTATTTAAATTTTTTTTAAATAAATGTTTTTAAAAATAGAAATAATTTAAAATTTGAAAAATTAAATCACTAAAAATTTTTAAAAAATCATTTAAAATTAGAAATTTTTATTTAAAAAATTAAAAAATCTTTTTTAAATTTACTGTGGCCAATCACAGCCTCTATGCCCGGCATTATTTCAGAATTGACACGAGTTCGATGTAATCTTAGGGCACTCAAGAAAAACTCTATCTCTTGTGGTTTTAGCCCAAACGACACTTTTCCAACGGCGAGGTGTTTTACTGTTAACGATAATTGATTTTTAATGACTTTTTAATTTTTTTGAAATTTAGTCATTTTTTGCATTCTTATGGGAAAAAAAATGTACAAAATTTTTTTAATAATTATTTCAAAATTTCGCGTGTAATAAAAGGGACAAAAAAGATGACGTAGAAAGGGTAATGAATTAAATTTTTTGGTAATTTACTCCTTCTCTTTCTTAATCACCCTTATCGAGAAAATAACTAAAGAAGTGTCTATGCCTTTGTTAACTAGTAACATTAGTTGATTTTTAAATTTTTGGAAACTTACTCATTTTTCGCACTCTTTTGGACAAAAAAAAATTTCTGAACATTTTTTAATAATTATTTCTACTTTTTGCGCGTAATAGAAGGGACAAGAGAGATAACGTAGAGGGCAAAATGATGTAATATTTTTGGTAAATTTAATCCCTCTCTTTCTCTCTCACTCTTATGGATAACAAAAATTTCAAAAATATTACAAAACTTTTTTTAATTCTCGCATAAAATAATCGGGACAATAGCAATGACGTAGAAAAGTCAATGACGTATAACTTCTTGGAAATACACTCATTCTCTGTCTTTCTCACAATCAAGAAAAAAATTAATTTTTTGAAGAAATTTTCAAAAAAAATTTTTTATGGATTTACAAGCGGGACAAAAGATGAGAATAAAATTATGTAAAATTTGAAAAAATTAAAATAAATTTATTTAAAGTTTGAGAAAACAAAAATAAGAATACTTAAAAATAGAAATGAATTAATATTTTGAAAAATTAAATTGCTAATCATTTTTAAAAAAATTATTTAAAATTAGAAATTTTAATTTAAAAAATTCAACAAAAAAAATTTTATACTAACTGCTGACAATCATAACTTATGCCCGACCTCATTCTGGAGTGGACTCGTTTTGTGTAATCTTTAAATACAAAAAAAACTCACTTACTCGAGGATTTTAAAAAGCTTTGAACTCTCCTGAAAAAAACAAGATTTTAAATTTAACCATACTTTATCACATGGTTACACCACCCCGTCACTTCTTAATGTTTTTAAATACATTTTTGGAAAACATCTAAATTTATACAAAGAAATACAAAAATTTTCAGTTTTTTCAAGATCATCCATAAATATCCGGGAAATTTCTCGATCTAATTCCCGGGAACTTTTTCACGTAGGTACCCATTAAAATAGCTACAAAACATAATATAAATTTTTTTCAAATGCATGAATAAAATTGTAAACTATAATACTTAAAAAAGTATATCTATATGGCACTTATGACTTACCGCGACATTTTTGTAGATCATTAATGACGTTCAAATTTTAAAAATATAGACTTAATGGCTATACGGATAAAATTTCGACATGTCAGCTGTAGATGGTGTGTCAAAATTTCGTGTACATTCATTCTGCAAGCCATCTGTGACAGTTTTGTGAATCTGCCGTACGTTATATAGAGCGTTTGAGTCAAACTTTACGGCTGTTTTCGGCGTTCACTCGTTGTAAACACCGAGTTAACGAAAGTCCAATTAGCAATTATATTTATTAACATTCTGTAGGAACTATCTAATGGGAATTAATTTGGTGTTAATACCGAGTGAACACCACATTAACGCATCTCCGCGTTCGGATGGAGCATTTACAACTTTAAGTTGTTGAAGTTGTGACTCGGCCTTAATATAATATTTTGCCCCAAACGATTGGATCTTCTTACAAAAAGTCATCATGGATTTTTATCATTCTAAAAATCTCGAATGTGTTCTTTGTATCAAAGTTATCTAACTGTTAATTAATTATTGTACTCTTGTTTACAATAATTCTTGTAGGTACAGTAGTGTTCAATGAAGCCTTACTTGGATTCACGTGTTGCACTTATATGTTTCCATGAGTGCAACACGTTCCTCCGAGTAAGGCTTCATTGAACACGACTGTACATTTTGAGAACCTTCTTTTTTTAAAGATGAAACCATCTTAAAACTTAAAACGAATTAACCATTTGACAAACAAAACATAAATAATATCAAAAAATTCACTTAATTGAAGACGTAGAAGAATAAAATATAGTTTTCTCAATTAAAAAATCCTACATTCTTTGGATATAATAATTACAAAAAGATAAAGATAAAGCAATATTGTGTGATTTCAAAGTGTTTTGATACTACTGCGAGTAACAGAGGTAGCTATATTAACGGTTTTACATTCAATTTTTACACTTTCGGAGAAGTAAAAAACCATTGAAAGTTTATTAATTATTTATCAACTATTTTTAGTTGTGACGATGTAAATCGTCACGTCATCTGTCGGAATTATCCCTGAACCGTGATCGTTAATTGATATGATAAATTAGAAAGTCGAAACTGCAGAGTGACCCACTATTAGTGGTGAATGTGTGTCGCGCGGCTAGTTAGTAGGAGAGAAAGTGCTAGAGGGCAGAGCAGCTGATCGTTAGAGAGAGGCAGTGAGAGGAGAGCCATTGTAACGAGAGAGAAGAAGAGATGAAGAAGACGAGCACGTGTGGAGAAAAGCAAGAAACATCGTCAAAAAGTTTGTATTGTGTAGAACTTAGATAGAACGTTTTGATAAGATAAATTGTGAGTTTGTAGAGACCTGTAGTTTGTAAATAAAGAATAATTGTGAAAACTGATTCTAATTTGTTGGATTATTTCTCTTCCCTAAATTAAGGAATCCTTGAAAGGAGTGTGCCTGCAATAGGAAAGAGGGAAATCGAGAAGCGTCATCGGGTGAGTCAGTATCGAACCAGTATTTTACCAGTCGTGTCTCGTCGTTGGCATTTTTGCTTGCCAAGTTGTTCAGGCAGAATTTCCTCTTACGATTGAGAGTGTCTCAGAGGTGTTGTCGTTATTGTAAGCTTGTTGTTGTTGGTCGAAAAATTAGTTTATTAATTGAGCTTGAAAATTAATTAGCGCCTGACGGCGAAATTTATTCACTTAAATTTCAAATTATTATTATTGTTGAAAGCGTCAGATTTTGTTTGACGTTTAGCAGAAAATTTTGATTTATTTTTTTAAATTCATACGTCACATAGTAAAACATTTTGTATCGTAAAATTAAATTCCATCAATTTTCGCCATTAAAAAAATTATCAATTGACATTTTGGAAATATTTTCACGAGGAAAATAAAATTTCAGCTTTTTAATGGACTAGTATGGCCTGAAAACTATTTATTTCTTTGTCTTAAATATTGAAAACTTTAATCAGTAACATAAAGATATTTCTGCATCGATAGATTTTTTTTACAATATTTTTATCAATTGAATAATAGTTAGATGGAATAATCAGTGTTTTAATGAAAAATGAAATAGCTCGACCTTTAAAAATGATTAGAAAAATAAGTATCTAATTTTTTCTATTAGAAACAATATTTTAAGGTAGCATTAAAGAAAATTAAAATGCGTGTTTTTTGTGCACTCTACTGCCTACGGTATTGAAAAATGTCATTTTAAGAAAACCGCATTTAAACTCTTGAAATGAGAGAACATGAAAAAATAAACTCACTGTTAATATACGTACGATATTTTTTTAGCTCCTACGATAATAGAGAAGATAGCCGATAGCGCTAAAAAGCACTTATAGCGCTCTTGAATACGTTTTACAGATTCAATTTTTTTCACATAAAATGTCTTAGAAACTACTCCTTATAATATAATTTCTATTCTACACATCATAAGAATCTATTGAAGCAAAACAATGTAATTGCTTTCTGTCAGGGGTGTCACTCCCTCTTAAGTTATTGCATTAGAAAAATAATATTTTACTTAAAATTATTTTCCTAGGCGGAACAAGGAAAAGAAGATTTAGTATCTAATCTTAATGTATTATTAAGTGAAAAAATTGAATTGGAAAAAAGTGTAGCAGAATTACAACAAAAACTTGAACAAACTGAAAAAAGAAATGCAATATTACGAGAAGCTGAAGAAAAAAAATACGTAGAAGAAATTTTGTTTTTAAAAAAAACTAATCAACAACTGAAGGTATTTTGCTTTTATATTTGAAACAAATTTTATAAATAGAAGATAATTTTATATATTATATGTATAGAAGAGGGTAGGGATAAATGAATCATTTTATGCTAAAATACATTTATGACGGTACTTTTTGATAATTAAATATAATTTCCTTCCCTTTTCGTCACAAATCAGACTTTTTACCAACGCGATAGTTAGACGCCAGTTAATTTTATTAGACAAAAATTAACAAAAGTAAATAGTCAAATCATTAATAACATTAAATACTAAGGAATTATCTCGAAGGAGATCCCGCTAAGAAATATTAAGTCAAAAAGGGAATGCTTGACTTTCGAGACACTACATTAAATAAAAATTCTACTTACTATTTTTCCTGTCAATAGGCCCTCTCTAGTATGATTTCCTTTTTGTTAGAGGTAATAGTCAGATAATACTACCATTTAACTTTTCCACTTATTATTTATTATGTCGTATTCTAATTATTACAAAAATATAATACTCTCTTATACTCCTCACAACCAAGTCACTCTTCTCGATCTCTGATCAACAACTTTATTTTCAACATGTGGTTTCGTCGTCTGCTAGTCCTCCACTAAGACTTGAATCACATTTGGTTTCAGTCTTAAACAAAAAAATAAATTCAATAATCATTCATTCGATAAAAAATATAACATAATAAACATAAATATAATATCAAAATATTAAATACCCTCCTAGTAATACTGTTACTATATATACTGTTACTGTGTACTATATCACAATAAGATGGTGGAGGGACAGAATCTTCCACTTCTATTGGAACTAGTTTTTGTTGTTTCCATAATTGGTCTTCCTTCTCAATCTCCTCAGCTTTAGTCAATTTCTTAACTTCTGATGTCGTTGCTTTCGGGAATATTGTCTTATTCGATGATTCCGAGAAATTTCAGGGTTTGTCAGAACTATCACCAGCATTACTATAGCTCTCATGTTTGATATCTTGTCTTCACATAGACGGTAACATTTGATTGTCTTCTCTTCTTATATTAGTTAGTCTTCTTGATGTCCCTGACTCACTCTGTCGTTCCCATGAAATGTCAAAATCGTCGGTAGTAACCAAACTCGTCCTGGATCCAGAATAGTTATTCCTTTTATTTTTCATCATCAAATATCTTCGGTATCCTGGCGCACATCTTGGACACGTTGCTATTGTTTGGTATTTTCTACCACAATTTTCACAATGTGCCTCAGTTATTGGTTTTGGACAGAGAGACATGTTATGATCCTTCCGCCAGCAATTCATACAATCTCTTGGAGGGGAATATATAGTAGGGTCCCTGATTATAGAAGCCAAATCGTTGAAGAGTACAACAGTTTTCTTTGATGGCTTGGTGGTTAGAAACAGGGTTCTTTTTGGTCGGAGCTCCAGCTTTAGGAGGTAATATAGATCTTGCTTGTTCCATCTCATCGTCATTCCTAGGGTTTACAAGATCCTCTTTGGCTAATATTTTCTTTCGAATTTCAGTCTCCTTTTCCTGCTCTTCCCTCAGTCTTTCTATATTAACAGAGGTCTTTGGTTCTTGTAGTTTACAAAATCGTTCCAACTCCAGTACTGCCAAACGGTCCTCATATTGTTCCCAACTTTCTCCCTTTTTGTGCTTATGGTCATCACTCGGGACGTTTTTCCCTACTGATCCTTTGTGCTCAGTTAGGCTATTGATTTTGTCTCTAGCTGTTCTTGGGTAAATAGCGGAGTTGTTACCCAATGTCGAATCTATAACTGGGAAATCCAAAAGAGATGGCGGTGCAGATATGTCCTTTGGTAATTTAAAATCCAATGTAGGAAGGTGATTAGAATTATTTTTAACTCGTCTAATCACTGGTCTTGACAAGATTTTTAGTTATACTAAGTCTAGCTGATCCTCAAAATTCCTCCCTGTCAATCAATTCTTCGGGTCGAATTTTTCGCACTTTGTCTGTTTTCTCGACTTCTCGTCGTAAACTCTTAACTAATCGTGGATGTCGACCAAAATTTAGAAATGCGGGAGAAATTTTGGTAGTTGCTTGAGTTGCAGTATTGATAGCATGTCGGAATTCATGGACATGCAAGTCCCAGTCACGATGGTCATTTCCAATAAATGTTGATATCATAGTCTTTAAAGTCCGATCATAAGTCTTCTCTACTCCCAAATGTCCCATAGATGGAATAGAATGAGCATCATTTAACACCCTTAGTCTATGCTCATCTGGTACAACCAGTTTTCATCCATCTTCGTCACCAATAATTGGGAGGAGAAAAGGGTCACTACAATGACGGTATAGAAAATCATTCTCAATTTTCCAACCAGGAAATCGGTTTGGCAATTGTCTGATCATTTCCCGTCGTCTGATCTTCAGTCATCCTAGATGATGCATCTAGAACCTGGTTTAATGCACCCTTCCTGTGAATAATCTTAAAGTACCAGTTCTGCATTTCCAGTGCACACCTTGCGAGTCGTCCAGTCGGATCTTTTAAATTCTTCAACCACTTCAAAGCCGAATGGTAAGTAATGGCCTTGAATTTATATCCTTCAATATATGGTCGAAACTTTTTATACACCAAAGAAGTGCTAAGCATTCTTTTTCAGTCACAGAATAGTTTCTTTCAGCACCAGTCAATACTCGGCTGATGTACATCACTGGATGTTCTCGATCGTCAAACTCCTGAATCAGAACGGCGCCAAGGGCATAACTGTTTGCATCACACTGTATTGTGAAGGACAAACTAAAGTCAGGGCGGGCGAGTACTGGGACTGTTGTCAATTTCATCTTCAAAATATCAAAAACTTCCTGTTGTTCGTCACCCCATTCCCATGGTCGTCCTTTCTAAAGCATCTTGAAAAGAGGCAGTCTGATCTCACTATCATTTTTAATGAACCTTGAGTACCATCCAACCATTCCTAGGAATCTTCTTAGTTGTTTGACATTCGTAGGTGGTAGATAGCGTCATACCTCTTCAGATTTCTTTTCAACTTTCAAAGATGTCGGTCACGATGATTATATCGTCGAGATATCCGAATACATAAGGTTCGATTTTCGGTCCAAAAAGAGAGTAAATTAGTCTCTGAAATGTACTCGAGGCATTAACAAGTCCAAAAGGCATTTGGCAATATTGCCAAAGTCCTGATCCGGGAATAGCAAAGGCTGTATACTTTTTGCTTTCTTTTGATAACGGAATTTGGTGATAAGCTAATGTCAAGTCCATTTTTGAGATGTACCTAGCTTTTTTAAGTTTGGCCAAAATAGAGTCAATGGTCGGTAAAGGGTACATGTCTTTGATTGTAACCTTGTTCACATCTCTGAAATCAAAACATTGTCGAAAATCTGGCTGTCAGTTTCCTCGTCACTATCATTTGTCACTCCTGTAACCCTTATCTGGCAAACATTTGAAATTTCCTCTTTTTTGGGCGATATATATGCTTCAAGAAGGAAAATTTTACTTGAATTCCCACAGTCATATTCTTCACAAAAGGGAATGTCTATCTCGTCTGTAAAAATTATCCTCAATTCAATGCGGAACACTATTTCTCGGAGGACTTGTAATGTTCCTGCAATTAATAATTGTTTTGCAAGTAGCATTGTCACTATTTGTCCTACTGGCATAGTAGTAATAGATGCCCAGATATCTTTAATCTCGGGACTATCTAAGAGTCTTGTCACTTTTTCTTTATAATCAATCATTTTCTCAATTGCGTAAGCCATTTTATTTGTCAAAAAGAAAGTTAAGCAAGTTCAAAAAGTCAAAAAAAAATTTATTACACTAGTCAGTACCAAATTAGGGTAATTTTAAATTTTCACGCTTTGTCAAAAGTCAATACGAGTTATTTAAATTTATTTTAGAAAAATTTATCAAATTTTCTAAATTCCGTAACTAAAATCTAATTTTAGGGCACTATACACACTATATACCGTCCTGACAATTTTTTATTAATTAATTCAATCAACTTATTTTCACTAAACTCAAAAAAGAATAAAAAATTTAAAAATTTGTTATATAATATCAAAAAGGGGGCACGTCTCCCAATTAATACGGGCCTGGTCCTTATAAAAATTTTCACTGTTTCACGGCAGAAATTTTCATCTCCTTTCCAAGTCAAAAATTTCACATTAATTTCTATAGTGAATCATATTTTAAGCCTACGTGACTAGTTTTCGTCATGCGCAATAACTTCCCTCGTCAAAATTTTCCACTGTCCGACAATTTTCATGTACATCGAAAAATTTGAAAAAGAATGTGAGAAATGTTCTCTATGCGCATGCGCTATCTGTTACGTGATTCTTTCAATTTTTATTTAACACGAAACACGTATTAGCTAATTAATTAAATAATAGTGGTAAAAATATATTATCACTCACGAAAAATCAAGAAAAATTTAGAGTTTAATAAATTGAATTATCAAAATCGTCCAGGAATTGAACGAGTTATTCGACTTTAAAAAAAATCTTAGCACGAGGTTATGGCGTCTTTCTATAGACGCAATTTACCATGCCGTTAAAAAGAATTTGATTAAAGTAAAATGTCTCTAATATTTTTACACAATCATATCTTAAAAGCAAATACAAAATACATGTCACAAAGAAATAATTTTTGGATCAAATACCATTAATTATTTCAGAAATAATCAATAATATTTTGACAAAAGGATAATTAACAAGTCAAAATCACAAGTATAAATTCTCGTCGAAGCTCAAAAATTTCCCAACAAATGTGCCCCACGTTGGGCGCTAAAATTTATGACGGTACTATTTGATAATTAAATATCATTTCCCTTTTTCGTCACAAATCAGACTTTATACCAACGCGATAGTTAGACGCCAGTTAATTTTATTAGACAAAAATTAACAAAAATAAATAGTCAAATCATCAATAATTAATAACACTAAATACTAAGGAATTATCTCAAAGGAGATCCCGACAAGAAATATTAAGTCAAAAAGGGAATGCTTGACTTTCTAGACACTACATTAAATACAAATTCGACTTACTATTT